ACAGTGTTTCAACAGTGGGAGGCCCACGCAATGAAGGAAACCACACCAGCATGCTCAGCGTATCATCCTTGCCCCTCGCGAAGAGAAGAAATCCGTTCAACTACACTGGCTTGCTTTATGCTGTTACCGCTTCAATGGCAGCAAAACAACGTAGTGCATCCTCAAACATCCATAAACAGAATGTCTCACGAATTTTTGTGAATGCAGGAATGCAAATAAAATGGTGCAGTTGAGTTAGTGTGCCACAAATAGAGGCTACTGATGCGCCGGTCTCAGCGAAGGTGATAGCATTCCACTATGCGTCTGTCAAGGAGACAATCCCCATCCGCATCCAGCACTAGACAGCGAGGAAACAGTTCACATGCGGCCTGCAGGATTGATGAGGCCCCCACGCAGAATATAAAATTCCTCCCCCATTTCTTCTTGCTCCGCTAGATCTGTTCCAGCTGCTGCTACAATCAGCTTCCGTCGACTTCCAGCCGTGCACGTAATCGCTCAGTATATTACACACCAGAACCCCAAGTCGTCGTAGCCTTCTCGGCTGCAATCCTCACAGAACCAAAGCAGGGATCACCACGAAATCTAGGAGTCGCCCCAGTCAATGAGTACTCGACATGCCCTGGCATCTGGCTTCAAACCTCTCACGTTTGCGGGTCTCCGCTCTCCTTGATCAAGCGCAACGAAAACTATTCCCCATCAGCCTAGCGGCTCGCCGCGTTGGGTTGGTGTAGGCCTCCACTTAAATCTACAGAAGTTGACGAGAAGAGAGTTACTGCTACGTGCGCTGCTGGTGCTGAGTACTCATCATTCATCTCTTCTACTGGCTCTCCTACAGCCACCCCTCTGAATGGTGGCCATGGCCTTTCGGAACCCCGGTGCCCTTGTGAAGAAACACCCGACTGCGGAGCAGGCAGCCTCCAGCTTGAGCTTGCTACAGGGAGATCCACAGGCATACCAAGACCCCCAAGCAAATATTGCATGGCTGCTTGTCCGGTTGATGGGTCGTCGAAACTCCATATGTCGAAAGCACGAGAAACGTCAAACGGGCTTTCGCCGGAAGAATACTGCTGAGCGCTAGATTGCATCTGCGGAAAAGCGCCACCTGGCACGCTTGGAAACATGGGCAGCAGGACAGGAGGCCCGGGTGCATGGTTACCCGGAGGCCCGGGTGCATGGTTACCCGGACGGCCCTGATTTGCTAGGTCGGCTGGCCGAGTCTCATCTATTGCCTGCAAGCCGGTCTGCTCTTCTGATGCACCGCCTACCCAGGTATGAGGGACGTTCGGTGGTTGCGCTTGTGGCATTGGCCCCATGGTGGCTTCCCCAGCGTCGCCAATTGCCCAAGTAGAAGTTGAGGACGCTGGAGGTTCTGCTGATGCATTGGTGAGAGCTGTGCGATGGGTTTCCAGTTGGCGGGTCACTTGAGGCAGTGGGGATTCAGACGGCCAGGGACGCTCAGCGGTCCTTGCCGATGTGCCAAAACCTGCCGCCACTTCAGCGGAGTGCCATAGCATCGAGGGACCTGACAAGGCCAACTGCTGCAACCCTCCAACGGAACTCCATGGTAGGTGTACTCCCGAAGACGACGAGGCTTGAGAAGCAGTGGGGGCCGTTGAAGGCCAAAGATAAATCGGCATCCACAGGAAACCAGGGACTAACGAAATTCCAAATGGAACATGTGGCCCAGGCAAAGGAGCCAAAGTGGAAGTCCAAAGACCCTACTTTGGCTCCTGGTAGACTCCACGACGCAACGCCAGCTCCAGTCGCAGCAGCAGCCCTAACATTCCATGCCAAGCCCACACTTGTGGAGGGTGCTTGGGTTGTTGAGGCGCCTGAGCTTTCTTGTAACTGACTCACGGAGCTGACAGCCTCTGCAGGTTGACCAGGCTCCGCAAATCCTTCAGGAGAGCCCAAGCTCTTTGGCGGGCTTGGGGTCTCCGATTGTCCAGCACGAGCTTCCGTTGCCAGAGGAGTCCCCAGCCCCTGCGCGCCCGCTTCGATACCAGCTTGCTCAAGTGCACCAGAACTCTTCTGCTGATACCGTAGGCCCAAAGGCGTATTGAGGAGCTCCTTTAGAAGCTCGTCGTGGGGCTTTTGAGGAGTTTCCGTAATCGTTTGAATTACTCTAGGCGCAGCCAGCCCGAAGTGCGAGCCTTCACTGTGTTTTTGGCGTAGCCACCTGCTGAGCAAAATATCTTGAAATACATGTCTCCTGCGCAGTTCGCTTGTCGTGTGCAACGCACCCACATACTCCACAGCAGTGTCTTCTGGGGGTGACCCCGTCCTTTTTCGGCAACAAACTGCCAGCAGACGCACACAGTGCTGCACCTGTGCCAGTGCTGCCTGCTGCAACGAAACCAGCTGGGCAAGCTTCAACAGACGGTCGGCAGGAGACATGGAGGTCCCCTCAAAGTCCATTTTCGGCAACTCCTGTAGGAATTCATGCAGGCAGTCGATGTGGCGCACACTGGCGCGGACTTTCCTCTTGCTTGCTAAGAGGGAACGAAACAAAATCAGTTCCGATTTGATGCTGTCCACTGCCTGCAATAGAGACTGCCTCCTTATCGGTTCCAGCAATGAACACAGCGCAGCCATCTCCAAAACGCTCAAACGCAACATGTTCGTGAAGCCCTTCACAGACAGGGGCGTAGGCAGCTGAAGAAACGCACTTCTGCTCTCTTGCACAACCTTTGCCAAGCCCGATGCGTAACGTTTGGCGCGGTCAAGCACTTGTTCTTCGCCAAGAAGTTCGCCTCCTACTGCAATAAGTGCGCGCTCTTCGACCCCTGCGGGAGCACAGGGCCCCGCAGGGTCTCTCCCCTCATCTTCAGCAGCAGAAAGTAACCGCGTTATGCCCTTAGGCTTCTTTGAGTCCCCGAACTGCACGGAGCAACGCAGCAGTAAGTAAGCCGTTGCGACAACAGCCAGAGCTGCAAAAGTCATAGGATGCAACGGAAAATGGCGATGGCCACGTCGTCCCTTTATCCTGGTGAAAAAAGGGGAGTCATTACGGCGGGGAACGAAGGGCTTTTTCGTCTCGCTACTCCACAAGGAACGTTCCCCAATGAAGTGCAACGCCATGCCAATGCCCACTTCGCTGCTCGGCTGGGCGTGCATCGGCGGAGTGGGAATTGCAGCCTGTCCGGTGTTCTGCATTAGTGGTCTTTGGCAATGCACACAAGGCGAATCTCATGCAAATCGAAATCTAACAACTCTCGGGATATCTAATTTAGCGGAGGGCAGGACACGCGCGAGGCTCACACGAACTTGAAGAGACGTCGGCTGCGGAAGGATCGGCCAGAAAGTACCATTTTACTTATCTTCAAGAGGAAGCCTGATTCACTGGATGCTGCTTGAAATTCACATAGAGTGAAAAAGGGCTTCTTCACCCAAATGAGGGCCAGTAGGTGGCTTTCTGCCGTCGTCCATTGACGCTGGAGCGCCGTGCTAGGCTGAGGCAGCAGGTATTCAGCGGACAGTTGACAAGGTCTCACACAGAGATGCTGTGTCTCCTTTTGAGGCGTTTTACTCGGGAAAGTGTTTCTGGATGGTGTTTTATTTCTGGTTCTCTGTGGCTTAGCACCACGAGTCGCAGCTGGACCCTGGGGCAGCTTTCTGTGATTAGCCCACTGGACCACAGCTTTCATTTAAGGATAATTTAAGGATATTCTTCTTTTCATGGAGTTGAGTTTATTTCGAAGCTGGATCTTGGGTGTTCGACACAGTGATCATCTTTCCATTTAGAGTATTCTTCTTTTCATGGAATTGAGTTTATTTCGAAGCCGGGTCTGGGGCGTTCTGCCCATTGCGCGGCTTGATCCTCACCTTGGTGGCACCTGCTAAGGCTGCTAGCACTACGACTCGCACTGGATATTACCTCCAGCGCAGCTTGTTACTCCTGCCATAGCAGAGCCTCTTCACAGTTACATACAAAAGTGTGCATGCGATCCAGTAGCGGCTATTGAGGCATGTAGTCGCCGAAGCCCCCTCTTCTCCACAAGAAAGTCATCAACCTCCAAGGCAGATGAGCAACACGGCACCACCAATGTGTGTCGGCGTGTCCTCTGCCATCACTTTCTATTCGTAGCTGTCCTCCCAGTAAATGTTCGGGCATGTAGTGTTGTTTGTGCCCGTGCCGTTCCCCTTGCCCTCTCGTTGCGCTTATTCCGTTGTTTTGCTTCTCGTTGCGGCGCCCCCGTCAACATAGCGCTATAGATATGCATTTCTGTCTCTCTAACTCCTAGAGCTCCATTTGTTTTCCGGTCCGTCTCCGTGTGCTTTCCAGGATGGAAAACTTCTTTTGCACCGTCTTCGTACAGCAGCAAGGTTCCGCAGCGCGACCCCTTGGCGTATGTTAGCTGCACGCAGCACGATGAGTACAAGTAGCTGCCCACAAGTAAACGAATTAATGCAAATGACGGATTCAACACTGGGGTGGCGTGCTGCTCCTCAATACTTGTGGAGCATTCCCACTTCTCAGCAGCTTTTATGTATGCTAGAGTGCAGTCTTCACTGGCGGGTTCACAAGCCTATAGAAAGGCAAGGGGAAGGCAGTGAAGAACGCATCTGCAGCAATAGAACGTATGTGGAAACAAAGCATGTATGCTTGCGCCGTTGCACGCTCATGGCTCTGCCTCGTTCATGCACGCAAAGAAGCAGAAAGCAAGTACATTGTTTCTCCGGGAGGCAGGTGCAAGGTGATGAATGTGGTCAAAAACAATTGGACTAAATGGAAAATGCAAACGCGCAACTGAGTACGTTTACACACGTATATATTGAAGCAGAGAATTCCACAATTGTAATGTATCAAGACAGGGTGACTTCACATGTTCGCAACAGGATAGTGGCCCATCGCCTCGATTCTGGCTGCCGCCGATCGTAACGAAGCAAGACTAAAACAATAAAACAAAATCCGCAAGAAGAAACGTCCTCCACCCCGTTCAAGTAGGTCAGCTTCACTGGCAGGTTTCTGGAACAATACTATAAGGCTGGTATATGCTGGTGTATACAATCCCGG